AAAAAAAAAAAAAAATGTGTCATTCAGGTATAAATGGACATGAAAGATCATTTAACAAGCTTAGAGGGCGATTGTTATGAATTCAATAGTAAATAAATTAATCAAAATTTAAATTTAACTCAATTTTAACTCAACAACACTATCTTCAATATTATCAATATAATTAAATAATATCAACCAATCATTCTTACGCATCACATCAATTTTAATTCACTATTCATCCACTCAGATAATTCTAACTAACTTCTACTTTACATAAAATCAACTTTAATTATTTTATTTAAATATTATTTTAATATATCCACTAACAACTAACGACACCACTTTTTTTTTTCTAAAATTAACTATAGTTTAAAAAATAAACCAAATAAAAACTAGTCCAATCCATAAACAATCACCCTAACTATTAAGAAGTTAGTCGTAACAATGCTACAACAATTTGCATCAATAACAAAATAATAAATTTTATTTCTTCTCTCTTTGGTAAATCCTAGTTTTCTCCTTCTTACCCTAGCCGCCCCTTCTTCTTTGGAGTGCCCCCCGCTGGTGGCCCAAATCTTTTGCGATTCCTACGAGCATCTGTCTCGGCCAGGGCTTGGCGGCTCGGCTATGGCGTCCCCTCGCCTCTTTCCCTCGGAAGTGGGCTTCTCTCTTCGCGAGTACCATGGCGGGCGAGTGGCGTCGGTGGTCGTGTTCCGACGACCGCTGCGGGTGTTCTTGGCGGAGGTCAGCAGCGGCGGTCTAGCCTTGGTTCCCTCCTCCTCCGGACTTCACTGGTGTTGAGAAGATGCGGTTCTCTGGCGGCGGTTGCGTGGTTAGGGCCTCCGATGTTCGTGTGGGGGGACTGTGGAGTGGACCGGCCCGGGTGGGTCTGCAGAGTTTCGAGAATGGTTGGCGGATCTGCGGTTCGTTTCTAGTTAGCCCGCTAGGGGAGTTTTTGGTTTCGATGTGTTGGGCTGCAGTTCTCGTGACTTATTCTCGGTCGTTTGGATGTTAGCTTGGGTTGTATGGACGTTGGTTGATCTTGTCTATAGGG